CAAATAATAGATGCTGGTTAATTCGCAGTCATAGCCATGACACTCACTATATTAACTTATATCAGAATTTATTATGCTAGATAAATTGATAAAACAAAAACACTAAAAATTTTTAGATGAAATTATGCAAATGTATTGAAGCCTTAAGTTATTTACAAGGCAGGGATGCCATATTAGAAATGAAACATTTTGTAACTATAAAATAAGAACCAGAGTGATATGATGTGATAAAAGAAATTAAAGATTTTATATATTATTGTCGCACCACCTCTGGTTGGTATATTATATCTTAAAATAGTAGTAGTTTGTAATAATATCAAAAATATACTAGTATTAAAAATTTAAATCAAAACTGTTTTTCAAATAAAAAAATAAATAGCTTTCCTAAAAACACGTAAAAAAGAGAAGAAAAGCTATCTAATTTATTACATTCATTCTGGAATAAATAATAAGATGTTAAATTTTATAAATATTTCTAAATAAATAGATGGCGTTAAATATTTAAAAGTAAATTATTACTTATATTTATTATCAAAATCATTTATTAGTAAGATTAATTAAAATATTGACTGTAATATATTATATAACTGTCAAATACATCTGTAAAAGTGGTATTTAACCTAATCTTTTATAACCAATTATATCTAGTAGAGGATTATAAACTATACTAGTTGATAACCCGTCAAAAATGACGGGGATGAGAATTTTATTCGTTCTTTTACGATAATTCTTTTTACCCCTCCTCCTTCAGGCCAATTCCAACCCATTAAGACTAAGAGTGATGAATTGTCTTTTTTATTCAATGATTGATGAATAATATATTTTACCTTTATTTGATGATGGATGAATCAGAAATTTTCCTATTTTATGAAATGTGATCTCGAAATTTATATTTTAAATTACAAAAATGAGTAAAAATGAAAAAATATCTCATATTAGCATCACACTGATCACCCGTCAAGAATGATGGGGAATTATAATTTGAGATGTGATTTAGAATTTTATATTTAAAATTACAAAAATGAAACAATATCTCTTATTAGCACCCTAAATACTAACATTATTTACCAGAGCTCCTGTTAGTCAGAATTGCTGTTCACTCCCCACCACGTGAAGGTAGGAGATGGATTTTAGGGGAGCAAAGAAATGAAAAAAAGAATGAAAAAAGAAGGAAGAAATAGAAAAAAGAGACAAAGATATGAATTATAAGAAAATATAATAAATATTTATACTTCAAGAGTTGATGATTATCGGGTTACAACACATATGCATTTGTAGCCATATAAAAAATATAATATAATAAATTTTATAATATAAAAAATTTTACCTAAAAAAAGGAGATTTAAAATATCAAAATTGAGAGGGATGTAAGAATTTTAAGCATTAGTCGGGTATATCACCGTATCTTGACTTTTATTTGTTAATGTTTTGCCATGGCTCGTAGTTTGCCGTAAATATCCTGAAATAAAACGTGTAAATTGAAATTATAAAGTAGAATTTACTGTTGTTGGTGAGGAAGATGGTTTAGCGATGGTGAAGAAATTCTCTTTTCTTTGCTCAATGTGGTTTCGTTTTTGAAGATGATGTTGTAATTTCCTTGCTCGTAGTTTGCCGTAAATAACCTGAAAAAAAAACGTGTAAATTGAAATTATAAAATAGAATTTACTGTTGTTGGTGAGGAAGATGGTTTAGCGATGGTGAAGAAGTTCTCTTTCATTTGCTCAATGTGGTTTCGTTTTTGAAGAGGATGTTGTAATTTCCTTGCTCGTAGTTTGCCGTAAATAACCTGAAATAAAACGTGTAAATTGAAATTATAAAATAGAATTTACTGTTGTTGGTGAGGAAGATGGTTTAGCGATGGTGAAGAAGTTCTCTTTTCTTTGCTCAATGTGGTTTCGTTTTTGAAGATGATGTTGTAATTTCCTTGCTCGTAGTTTGCCGTAAATAACCTGAAATAAAACGTGTAAATTGAAATTATAAAATAGAATTTACTGTTGTTGGTGAGGAAGATGGTTTAGCGATGGTGAAGAAGTTCTCTTTTTTTGCTCTATGTGGTTTCGTTTTTGAAGATGATGTTGTAATTTCCTTGCTCGTAGTTTGCCGTAAATAACCTGAAAAAAAATGTGTAAATTGAAATTATAAAATAGAATTTACTGTTGTTGGTGAGGAAGATGGTTTAGCGATGGTGAAGAAGTTCTCTTTTCTTTGCTCAATGTGGTTTCGTTTTTGAAGATGATGTTGTAATTTCCTTGCTCGTAGTTTGCCGTAAATAACCTGAAATAAAACGTGTAAATTGAAATTATAAAATAGAATTTACTGTTGTTGGTGAGGAAGATGGTTTAGCGATGGTGAAGAAGTTCTCTTTTCTTTGCTCAATAGGGTTTCGTTTTTGAAGATGATGTTGTAATTTCCTTGCTCGTAGTTTGCCGTAAATAACCTGAAAAAAAAACGTGTAAATTGAAATTATAAATTAGAATTTACTGTTGTTGGTGAGGAAGATGGTTTAGCGATGGTGAAGAAGTTCTCTTTTCTTTGCTCAATTTGGTTTCGTTTTTGAAGATGATGTTGTAATTTCCTTGCTCGTAGTTTGCCGTAAATAACCTGAAATAAAACGTGTAAATTGAAATTATAAAATAGAATTTACTGTTGTTGGTGAGGAAGATGGTTTAGCGATGGTGAAGAAGTTCTCTCTTCTTTGCTCTATGTGGTTTCGTTTTTGAAGATGATGTTGTAATTTCCTTGCTCGTAGTTTGCCGTAAATAACCTGAAAAAAAATGTGTAAATTGAAATTATAAAATAGAATTTACTGTTGTTGGTGAGGAAGATGGTTTAGCGATGGTGAAGAAGTTCTCTTTTCTTTGCTCAATGTGGTTTCGTTTTTGAAGATGATGTTGTAATTTCCTTGCTCGTAGTTTGCCGTAAATAACCTGAAAAAAAACGTGTAAATTGAAATTATAAAATAGAATTTACTGTTGTTGGTGAGGAAGATGGTTTAGAGATGGTGAAGAAGTTCTCTTTTCTTTGCTCAATGTGGTTTCGTTTTTGAAGATGATGTAAAGTTGGTGATTTGATGGTGAATAACAAAGTTAGTGACTTTTTAAATTTCAATTGAATTTAAGATTTCATTATATACGATATTTTGTGTGAATGTTTTATCATTTTTTAAAATTTTTCCTTGTAATTCTGATGGCAAAATCATAATTTTCATATTATTTTGAGATTTACATCTAGTAAGCGCCACATATAGTTGTCCATGGGCAAAGACGGGCTCAGGGAGGAATAAGCCTACATGATCAAAAGTTTGTCCTTGACTTTTATTTATTGTAATCACAAAAGCGGGAATTATAGGAAACTGTCGTCTTTTTAAAGTAAATGGTAACTGAGAGTCACTTGGAGCTAGATCTATTCATGGGAGAAAAACTCGATAACCCTTATTAGTGCCTGTCAATACCTCAGCGTCGATAAAATTAATATGTAAATGTCGTATGATTAAACGGGTACCATTACAAAGTCCTTTCTTTGGGCTCAAGTTGCGTATTAGCATAACAATTGTACCAACCTTAAATGTTAGCTTGTAAGGTGGCATACCGGATGGAGTTTGTGAATGCAAAAATTCTATTGGAAAATTCATTATATCTATTATCGCTTTCAATGGAATCTGCACTATAATAATGTTTGATAGGGCCTGAAATTATATTAATGATATAGTTGTTGAGGGTAAGTGCAATTTTATTTTTGGTGGTTAATATTATTTTAGTAGAAAGACTATTTATATCAGCAATTTCTATAGAATTACCATACACACATTTTATTAATGAATCATTTTCAAGCAAATAAGGTGGGATTTCAAAACTATTTGTAGGAAGATCAGAATTGCTGCTTGATAGCCCATCTTCAATTTTAAGTAACCAAGCATTGTAATCAACTTGCTCTGATGGAATACGCATATTATCAATCAAATGTATTATTTTAAAAGACTCCATAAATCTGAACTTTTTATACAGGACTCTATAATATCGACTTTGGAGCCTTTAGGCACTACTGATGAAGTCTGTCTAAAATCACCACCTAATAAAATAACTTTTCCGCCAAATGGTTGGGAATTTTTCATAATGTCTTTAAGTAATCGGTCAATGCATCGCAAAGCGTGTTTAGTCATCATTGTGGCCTCATCAATAATAATCAATTTGCTATTTTTAATATCTAGAGCTAGCGAACTATGTAAATTCATATGGATGTAGAAGTTTCAAAGATAGGCACAGGTAATTTAAATCCGCTATGGATGATTCTTCCCCCTTTTAAAAGAATAGAGGATATGCAGGTGGTTGCAAAAGGCAATACAATTTGATTTTTTGCTCTTGTATAACACATTAAGGTATTGTAAAGATGCTTTTTACCTGAACCTCCAGGGCCATCCATGAAGAAATATCTTTCTGGAATATTTTCTAATTCAATCGCTTGTATAATTAAATCAAAAGTATATTTTTGTAATCGGTTTAATTTAGATATACGCTCGATTGAATCGGCAGCTTCAACATGGGCATCATAATGTTGTTTTGGGGGGATTTTTGTAGATGAAGGAAGATCAAAACTTTGACAGCATAAACCATGATCAAGATAAACGTTTTCAATGTCCATTAAATCCATGTTTATTGCAATTACTTCTCAATATTGACGCAAATAATTTTCAATCATCATAAATCTGAACCTATTCCATAGATATGCAGGATTTTCAGGCTGACAAAAAATGCAGATAAAGGCAAAAGTACTTTGAAGTTGTGACGGCATTTGATATATTGATCCCTCTTCTAAGCATGATTCCCACTCTTTATCATCTGATAACAAATTTCTTTTAATAGCTGCCTCTTTAAAAGTACTCAGTAGAATTCCATTAATAGTTTTTAAATAATCAAAACTTGTAGCCCCGCAAACATGAAGTAATAATAATCGAAGGAAGAATCGTTCACTAGAATTAGGATGAACGGAATACATTCTCGAAATTACATTCTCGAAATTACATTTAATCGTTTTTTTCTTAGTTTCCAATGGTAATTTGTAAACACATAATGATAAGGTATTTCCCCATAAAGATATTGTATAGCATTTAGATCTGTCTTATTTAACTCAAACCATGCCGTTAAAGTAGTATGTTTATTTTCTGATCTCAATAAAGCATCTCTTTCATGTCCATCAGTGAAATATACTGGCTGTTGTAAAGGTAAATGAATTCCTAAGCGAATAACAGCGTGCGAGCGGTCATGCAGATTATTTTCTAATCTCCACATTGATTCACATGCACTCACATATCGCGCATTTAAATGTGATTTAATTTCGTCATGAATATTTATATTTGAAGCAACATTAATGTCAACATTAGTACAGTCACAGCCCTTATAAATATACTTAAAGATATATATTACCGATTTAATAGATGTACAAATTTCCACGTTAATATGAGCATTGAATTTTAACATTAGATATCGATTATATGAAATAACATAACGATTATCCGTAGGTTTACCGGAAAGAATTGTAATACCATTATCTCGCCTTTTATAATATGGATACCCATCAATATTTGGTCTTGTTTCCATTTGAAAATCCTTAGGAAATTTTTTGGTACATATGCCATTTTCCATGCAAGGCGATTTGGGGTTAAATATCCCGCAAGGACCATGTATCATAAAATGGGTAACAATCTGAAAAAGTTTAGGTTCGAGAATTTTATCTGGCATTTCGGCACAAACAAATTTATCTATAGCTTGAGATGTTTCAATTTTGCTATCATCGTTTAAAATAATAAGTATATGGGCATGAGGCAAACCTCTTTTTTGGAACTCGATTGTATATATAAAAGCCATAGATTTACCAAATAATTTTTTTTTATTTATATCGAACAATAATTCATTTAATTTTAATTTAAAAACACGGGCTATTAAATCTGGTCTATCTGTAGGACTTTGCCCGGGAAATAGATTTTCCTTAATTTCACGCCAATTAGGATTGCATGTAAAAGTAATAAACAAATCAGGTTTGCCAAATTTGAGCACAATGGCCATTGCATCGTGATAGCGTTCTCGCATATTTCTTTGAGAACCTTGAAAAGATGATGGTAATATTACTGCTTTACCGGGAATTATATTGTTTGACCTTGTTTCCAAGTAGTCCATTAATCCAGAATATTTATCTACTCGAAATTTTGGCTGATTTTGTCTAATAAAATTTAAATTATTCGCCTCGACCTGTAAATAGGAATCAACAATATATTGTTGTGATAATTTCCCAGCAAAAAGGATTGGGTTGAATTCATTTTCACGAATTGCTAATCTAAATATTTTAAACTGTAGTAGTGAGATATTTGCCCTTGTACGCCCTGTATCTTCACCCTTTAAATCTGGTTTCCAACCAGGGTCACCAAAAGGAAATAATAGAGGATATACCATTGGATCAAGATTAGGGCTTAATATATTTATATTTATCAGATCACTACCATCAACTCGAGGATAGACCTTAATATCCCGTTTAAATGGGGGTTCACCATCATCATTTGTAAAAATCATAGCTACTTCATCTATATTAGGAATGTTATATCTTCGCTTGTCACTTGAGCGATCTGCACGAAAAATCATATTGATTTTTTGAACTGGACGATTTTCTTGAATGGCCCAATTTTTTTTTCCTTCTCAATTTCTCCCAAGGTTTTAAAACTAATAGAAAATGGGTTATTCTGTCTTATTAAAATATCTAATCTTTTCAAGAGATCCTCATTGCAACCAGAATTTTCTTTCATGTGTAACCTGTCATTAACAGCCTGGGTTGTCTCAAGGACATATAGTTGTGCAAATTTAGGAGGCATCCCAGTGGAAGGATATAAATGAGATGTTCGGTGATAAATTTGCCCATGAACTCTAAAACAATATGGGCCCGGGTTTAAACTATTAGAAATCTGTGCTCCCATGGATGCGTACGCAAGTGAACTATTATAAGATCTTATATATTTCAAAAAGTTTGAATGAAATTCATTGTTAGGATTAGATAAAAGGTCTTGTAAAAAAGGAATATATCGGATTGATGGTATCTTAACTTTACCCTTATGACAGCAATTCTTAAATTTGCCATCTGTGGGGTTTTGCAATAAAAAATTTAGAGAATCGCAATAATGGCACTTAGTGTTGAGTAATCCACAATAATGTTCTTGTACTAATGATTGTTGTGCAGAAATATTTATCTAAAATAAATAAAATTAATTTGAGGCCTGCTAAAAATTATACATATAATTTAATATTTTGTAATTATTCAGAGACCTGCAGACCCGGTGTAGTATTGTAAAATCAACCATCAAAAATTAATACGTTATTGATTCTATAATATTGTAAAATTAATACCGTATTGATAATTTATGTCCGAACCTCAACTTTTACGAATAAAATCTAAAATATAATTTATAAATCTTTGATTCGACATTTATATATGAATCACAAAATTTTAAAAACTCAATCAATGAGGTCCATCTAATTTATTTGAATTCATAATATCATTTATAAAACTTTGAATCAACAATTATATAGCACTTCACAAATTACAAATAATGAGTAAACAAATATAAATAGGATATCAAGAATTGTAAAATAAATAAATTCCCTGATAAATTATATAAAAGAATAGAAAATCATATTTATCATTTAAATATATTTAAAACTATTAAATCTATTTTAAATAAATTTTTTACAAATCGAAAATGGCCGCCAATATTTATAAAGCGATGAAAAAATTTATAATAAATAAATATTTTACAATTTTAATGGCCGCCAATATATTTGAAGCGATGCAAAACGGTATTGATTCTACAATAGCAATATATCACTACGGTATTGAATCTATAATGATAATATCAATACGGTATTGAAGTTACAATGGGTATTGATTTCACAATCCTACGCCGGCTCGATGTAAACATATGCCAGGCTTATAATAATTTTTTATAAAATATTCCATGGGTAATTACGATCAGCGTCTACATGCCAGAAAATTTGATGGAGGCAAACCCCTCCAAAATCTACCCATACCCACCTAAAAAAAATCCTGCGGCCTTCGGCCGCGAAATTTACAGACCTACGATGGTATAGTGATTTTATTTAAAAAATCTTATCTGCCACCATTTATAACCTTACAACATAATTCTATTTACAATCAATCAAGCCTATTTAGGGAAAAAAAAATTTAAAAATTTGTAGGTGATAATGAACCTTTATTTAAATAATGCAATCTTTTCATAATTTGGTATTCACTTTATTTTCATAAAATGTATATAAGTGAATTAAATGAGATAACATATTAATATTTCTATAAAAAAGATCTAAAATATTGTAAAAAATATAAGACGAATAAATTTAAAGAGGTATATTTAGCTTGATTCCACATAATTAAAAACAAGTATTGTAAATAGAGCTATTATATAAAATATTAAAATAAAATGAATTATAGTATATTTTGCATTGAAATTATAAAATGTTAAATTAAATATACATTATTTAAAAGCCTATATATTCGCTGTGAAAAAGATACATTAATTATTTTATTAATAATTTGGATAACCTTATAGATGTTAATGCAAATTGTGTTATAATATCATCAATTGTAAATTTTTCAAAAACATCAATATCGCTGGATATTAACAGTAAATTTTCCAAAAATGGGTCCGAAATTTTATTCCGCATTCGAGTTTTGTTAATTTTTACTTTACTCATGGCTCTTTCGGCTGAACAGGAAGTTGTAGGAAGGGTTAATAAATATTTATATAATAAATTTAAATTAGAATAAGAATTTAATTGATTTAAAAGTCGGTATGGTAATATAAAAGAAAATTTTATCCATTTTTTTATTTTGGTCATGATTTCGCTGTTGATATTTTCTTTGGTAATTTGATCGTTTGCAATACCTTTAATTATATACAATTACATCAATAAATTACTTTCATCAATATATAAAGCGTCATTGTTTTTAACTTTTAAAAGATCTTCGCAAAAAATGATTGATTGAGACTCCAAATATAAAGAGCGAAAATCATTATATTCATCAACAATGTTTTGGACATCCAATTGATAATTATTACAAATTTCGGATATTTGCCATCCTTCTATTTTTTCATTATCCATAATTCCAGCGGGAGTAAAAGATATCTGTGATAAAAAATTAAAACAATCATAATTAAATCGATCATTTAGGTGATTAATTATTGCATTTAGCACAGGGAAAAATATTTCCGTTCTATATCTATAATAATAAATAATAATTTAAATTTTTTTAATTTATTCAACTTGTTTTTTTTTGTTCAACGTAATTATTGAATTCTGATTGATCCAATTTGAATATTGATTTCATATTATACAAATCGTTATTACATTATTCTTTTTCAAAAAACTATTAGATAAGGAATGTAATTTTAAAAATATATTGTCTCCGTTAGCTATATTTTAAAATTATTTATAGAAATAGTAACTAATATTAACCTTTTAGTTTTTGTAATTTATTTTTTGTATGTTGTATTAATTTGGTTACCAAAGCCAAATCATTACCAACTGCCTGCATTTCAATACAAGCCTCATGTGTACATTTCAATATTTCTTTCAAAATAAATAGACTTAATATAAAATTTTCATCTTTAATTCTTGATAATAATCCATCGGCAATGGAAGAGGTGCTTGGGTCATTAGAATCTTTTAATTCAACTAATGATGCTAAAATATGTTCATAAACATCTAAAAAGATTTCTACAGATTTGTAGGATGATGACCAATTTCTGAAAATATATAACTTTCATTAAAATTTTTTATTTACCTTGTTGTGTTTTTAATTCTTTTAAGAGATTTCTTGGACTTTCTCATTTGATATTTAACAAACACACCTTGACGTCTAACTCCATTCATAAAATTATATAACTCATCTAATATTCCCATTGCCTTTTTCATTTCAATTTTGCATCCACAAACATGAGCAACTACTAAATTTAGCCGATGTGCATGGCACCAAATATAGATGGCTTTTGGAGCCTCTTTCAATATTAAAGCCTGCATTCCTTTGTATACTCCTCTCATATTCCCTGCACCATCCATACTTTGTCCAACCAAATAATCAAGAGGAAGACCAAGATCATTAAACTTAGAAAAAACATGTTTCTTTATATTTTCCCCAGTGGTTTCTGATGTTGTAAAACATGTATGATCCTTTCTACAGGATGTGGATGCAGATCATCTTCTATATACCGTACAAGCAAAGCTATGCATTCTTTTTTAGACACATCATATGTTCCATCTAATATGATGCTATAAGCACGATTCTCTTTAATTTTTTGAATAATGCTTTTTGTTATTTTTATCTTAATAATTTCAGTTATTTTTTTCACGTGGCCATATGACAATAAATTTATATAAGGTCTCGAAATTTTATCTGATTTTTTTCTCCGCAATTTTTCGTTGTTATCCATGTATGCACGTAAAGTTGGAACCGTTTTTGCCATTAATTTTATGAGACACATAAAATTACCTTCATTCGAATTAGAACCCCAAAAGGCTATATTACATTTTATAAGGTACATAATGGCATCGATAATATTATGAACTATATTGCGATTTTCCATGATTATATCAAGCTTATTTGATAGCAAATGATCTTGAATGCGTTTATTTGCAAGCCAAGTCATGTTTGCATATTCACAATCTTTATGAAGAGAATATGCTTCGTGTCTCTCTAAGTCACGCTTTATGTTTTTCCAATTATTTACCCTAAATTGAGTCCAAAAAGTATTGGACTTAGGGCCACAAACATAATACAATATAGAGAAAAGACTTTGTCTAAAATAGTGCTATAAGATAGCCAATTTCTGGGGTTGAGGGAACCATCTATATTAACCTTTCTATAATAGGTTATATTCATGCTCCTGTTTAAAAAGTAAAAATAATAAAAACTGGTATAGAAATAATGGATGGGTAAAAATTAATGAAAATTAAATATTATTTAAAACCTCTTGAGAGTAACAGGATATTGAAATTTATTTGTACATGGCTGACAAGGGCCTACAGAAATTATGAAATTAATCAAAATATTTGTCATCCTAAATAATTTGAAGTGAAATGGGTCATTTGGTTCCTTCTTTTTGTATAGCTGAATAAGACTTGGACTTTGAATATCCTCATTTTATTCCCTTCAAAAGTTATTATATAAATTTTATTTAAATAAAATACCTCATGCAAAGTAAGCGCATCACTAGAACTGGGGATTGGATGAGGAGATAATACAATTTGTGACTCTTCAATAACTGAGATTTTCTATAAATAAAGAGGAGTTTAATTTCTTTCCTAATAAAAAACTATATTTTTAATAAAATTTTAACCAAATGGTAATTTTTTTCTTAACAACATTATAATTAAGTTTTTAATAAATGTTGGAAATATTTGAATAACCTCATAATCATAATATATTTCCTTCAAAAGTTATCATATAATTCGTATTTAAATTAAATACCTCATCATGCAAAGTAAGCGCCTCACTGGAACTGGGGATTGGATGAGGAGATAATACAATTTGTGAATCTTCAATAACTGAAATTTTCTATAAATAAAGAGGAGTAATTTATTTCCTTATAAAAAACTATATTTTTAATAAAATTTTAGCCAAATGGTAATTTATTTCTTAACTACATTATAATTAAGTTTTTAATAAATGTTGGAAATATTTGAATAACCTCATAATCATAATTTATTTCCTTCTAAATTTATCATATAATTCATTAAATACCTCATCATGCAAAGTAAACGCTTCACTGGAACTGGGGATTGGATGAGGAGATAATACAATTTGTGAATCTTCAATAACTGAGATTTTCTATAAATAAAGAGGAGTTTAATTACTTTCCTTATGAAAAACTATATTTTTAATAAAATTTTAGCCAAATGGTAATTTTTTTCTTAACTACATTATAATTAAGTTTTTAATAAATGTTGGAAATATTTGAATAACCTCATAATCATAATTTATTTTCCTTCCAAATTTATCATATAATTCGTATTTAGATTAAATACCTCATCATGCAAAGTAAGCGCTTCACTGGAACTGGGGATTGGATGAGGAGATAATACAATTTGTGAATCTTCAATAACTGAGATTTTCTATAAATAAAGAGGAGTTTAATTTCTTTCCTTATGAAAAACTATATTTTTAATAATTTTAGCCAAATGGTAATTTTTTTTTTAACTACATTATAATTAAGTTTTTAATAAAGTTTTAATTCTACAAGAATATATGATTGAGAAAACAGGCATTAAAAATATTATGAAGTCCAACATAAAGTTATCAGGTTACAATGGCAAGATGATACAAGTGATAGGTACAGCAGTGAATGTAGAATACAAAGGGAATTCACAAATTTTGAACGCGTTAATCATAAACATTAATAAAATGTCTTTGTTGGGAAGATCATGTTAAATTTTGAAAATATACTTGAAAGATTCATAGGCATGATAGATGCAGATTAATATAAAACTGCGAACACATGAGGAAATCATAAAAGAATATTATAATGACTGTAAAAACAATAGTAAACTTATAAATAGAAAAATTAGTATAAATAACATTGTGAAATTCATGTTGAAAGTATATTATATAAAGAAATTCTAATAGCTAAATAAAACAATGATAATATTATAAACATACCTAATATAACACATAATGTAAATGGATGAAATACGCAGATAACATTTTGAAAATAGTTGAATCCAATTCATATTATAAAAAAAAGTAATAGAACTTTGAAATCTTAATTCAATTAAAGATGAAAAGATTTAAATTTAAAAATTCCTAGAAATTAACATTACCTTACTTTTATTATTTTACTACATTATATTAACTTAATAAGTTTTTTTAATACTTTGGTTTTAAATTTTTATTATTAACCTATTAAACATATTGTTAAATTGAACTTTATAAAGTATATATAGATATAAAAATAGTGAGATAAACAGTTAAAAAAATATTTAATAATAAAATATATTATACCCTGACTACTTTAATATTAATTTTATTCTAGTATAATTTTAAATAAAAATCAGTTTCTATTAATTCACAAATTTAAGGTATATTTTCAATAATATTTATTGTCTTTAGTTACAATAATAAATAAAAAATATTACTTTTTGGAAGTAAGATGTTATTGTCTTATTTTGCAACTGGGTTTTAACTCCATTTGTGATATTATATGGAATATCACAATTTAAGGATACCCAATTATTATTATCTCTTTTGATGGCTACCTTTGTAAATTTCATATCAGTTGGCTTGACATGAAGATGTTTATGTTTATAATGTTCATGTATCTTGTCACTTCTTATTTTAGAAGTTTTACAGTTAAGGTAATTACACTTTACCTTAAATAAGGTTCTGTTACTTGGCATCTAGAAAGAAATAATTATTATAATATAATTTTTTACATATTATGTTTTTTATTATTCTTTGCTTGCTGATATATGTTTTTATGCATGACTCAAAAAATTACCTAAAATTTATCCTGCTAAAATCTAGAAATTTATTAAAAAACATAATATAAATATATTAACCTCTAAGAAAAGTACCAAATAGGAAATGTGTAAATATTAACTTAATAAAATGATAAATCGTTGACAAAGAAAATTTATATTATTTATTAATTGACAAATATCTTTACTTTAGTTGACATTTTTCAGAAAATCAAACGATAACCATCATAATCGTATTAATTAATGGATTAAAAAAAGATTATAATTCAAATCAAAAATTACCCACCAAAAATCAATACCTACCCCCAAAAAAATAATGCCTACCCCCAAAAAATTAATATCAACCGCTTAAAATCAATACCTACCCCCAAAAATGCTAATATATTTTGGAGGCATTTGTCTCCTACCCCCCCCCCCCGGCCATGTAGACGCTGATTTACGATTATGTAGCACATACTTATTTTATCTTATATTTTGCCCGTCAAGGTGATAATATAATAAGAATTTTCTCCTTTATTAGTTGATGAAATATATTTTTTATTGTGGATATAAATTAAAATTAATAACCATATACTTCATAAATAAATAATAAATTTTGAATAACCCCTGATGATGGATTAATCAAAAATTTTTCTATCTATCTTATGAGATGTGATTCAGAAATTTATATTTATTAAAATATTTGTTATACAACAAATATTAAAATTTTTAACTTGGTTTGTTTTTATTAATTTGGGTAGATTAAGATTTTGTTGAATAGTAGATTTTGGTAGTGTCTAATTTAAAAAAATTTATTTGTTAACATAAATTAAAATTTTTAACTTCGTTTGTTATTATTGATTTGGGTAGATTAAGATTCTGTTGAATGAATAGTACATTTTGGTAATATGATTCGTGGAATCTAATTTAAAAAAAATCTATTTGATAACATAAATTAAATTTTTTAACTTCGTTTGTTTTTATTGATTTGGGTAGATTAAGAGTCTGTTGAATGGCACATTTCGGCAATATGATTCGTAAAATCTAATTTAAATAAATTTATTTGTTGACATAAATTAAAATTTTTAACTTGATTTGTTTTTATTGATATAGGATCACTAAAAAAATTATACTTAGATATTGTACCAAACCAAGTAAAAAATTTTAATACCTCATAAAATATGAAAATTCTGATTCATTTTGATTTTAGAGAAAATTTCCTATCTTATAAGGTAATTAAAATTTTTAACCTGTTTTGTTTTAATTGATATAATAATTACAAAAAAAAATTATACTCGGTTGTTGGACATTGATGTAGATAGCGTATTCTGATTTATAAAAAATAATATAATTATAAAGAAACTGAAAAAATAATACTTGGTGTTGGACCAAACCAATTTTAAAATTTTAATTTATATACATTACAAATCATACCTCATAAAATAGGAAAATTCTGATCCATTTTGATTTTAGCTAAATTATTTTGTAAAAATAAAACAACCTAAAAAAAGTGGATCCACATTTATTAATTAAGGCTCCTGAATACTTAGATATTGTACCAAACCAAATAAAAAATTTTAATTTATATACATTACAAATCATACCTCATAAAATATGAAAATTCTGATTCATTTTGATTTTAGAGAAAATTTCCTATCAAGGAAATTAAAAATTTTAACCTGGTTTGTTTTTATTGATATAATAATTACAAAAAAATATTATACTTGGTTGTTGGACATTGATGTAGATAGCGTATTCTGATTTATAAAAAATAATATAATTATAAAGAAACTGAAAAAATAATACTTGGTGTTGGACCAAACCAATTTTAAATTTTAATTTATATACATTACAAATCATACATCATAAAATAGGAAAATTCTGATCCATTTTGATTTTAGCTAAATTATTTTGTAAAAATAAAACAACCTAAAAAAAGTAGATCCACATTTATTAATTAAGGCCCCTGAATATTTAGATATTGTACCCAAGTAAAAAATTTTAATTTATATATATTACAAATCATACCTCATAAAATATGAAAATTCTGATTCATTTTGATTTTAGAGAAAATTTCCTATCTTATAAGGTAATTAAAAATTTTAACGTGGTTTATTTTTATTGATATAATAATTACAAAAAAAAATTATACTTGGTTTATTTTTATTGATATAATAATTACAAAAAAAAATTATACTTGGTTGTTGTACATTGATGTAGATAGCGTATTCTGATTTATAAAAAATAATATAATTATAAAGAAACTGAAAAAATAATACTTGGTGTTGGACCAAACCAATTTTAAAATTTTAATTTATATACATTACAAATCATACCTCATAAAATAGGAAAATTCTGATCTATTTTGATTTTAGCTAAATTATTTTGTAAAAATATAACAACCTAAAAAAGTGGATCCACATTTATTAATTAATGCCCCTGATTACTGGTTTCAGATGATAAAGCTAGGTAATTATATATTTTCTAAATTTTGATTTTTTTCTAGATTTATGTTAATTGAGGTTGGCTTTCTTAGCTAAATTATTTTGTAAACAAAATAAATCAAAATTGTAAAAAAAAATTTACCCTGTTTTGTTTTCTTTAATCAAAATTGTAAAAAAATTTTTTACCTTGTTTTGTTTTCTTTCCATTATTTTGTATATATGAAAAAACTTTTTATATATGTGTATTAAATTATATATTATATATATTATCTTTAATCAAAATTGTAAAAAAAAATTTTACCTTGTTTTGTTTTCTTTTCATTATTTTGTAACATATAAAAAAACTTGTGTATTAAATTATATATTATATATATTAATAAGAAATATCTGTAAGATGTAATAGTAGATGAAATTATGGTTTTTTTTTGTAATGATATGTATGGTTATAGAGTGATGTGGTATGGTTTTTATGTAAGTGATTTGTGAATGAATGATTTAGTTTTCACGTTGATTACCATTGATCAAATTTGCTATAATTATTTTGATTGGGCAAATAATATTTAAAAGAAAACTATTGGCTAAATTTGATTAACATTTTTTGAGGATTATATATATAGATGTTTACTTATTTTTATAAATAAATCTCTTAGGCTGCATTCATAGTGGAGACGGATCCGATTTTTACATCCGTTCCGTCAAAAGTCAATCTCATTAAAAATGATATATATGTTCATAGTGCGTCCGTTCCGATACCTTCCGTCTTAAAAACGGACCCGGCAAATTTTGAAGTCAAAACATTTTGAATTTTTGATCCGGCAAATCTTATAGAGAGTTATAACGTTACTTACAATTTTTTTATAGTCTATGAACATTTATATCATTTTTAATGAGTTTGACTTTTGACGTAACAGATGTAAAAACGGATCCGTCTCCACTATGAATGCAGCCTTATACTTATTTGGATTTGGACCTTGAAAATAATTTTAAGATGAGGTATGGTAATTAAATTTAAATATCAATAATATAGTTGATTAGTGATTTTGAACTCGGCTAATTACAATATTTAATTTGTTAATTTTCAATTAATATTTATTTAATTCTTATTAATTTTTAAATTATAAAATTAAATCTATATATTACTCAATAGAATTATAAAAGAAATCATTCAGTGGGCAATCAAAAAAAATTATTTCAAGGGGGTATTAAGGAGCCATTAAAAAAAAATTTTTGCTTCAGGGGGCTATTCAAATTTTTCAGGGGGCTCGAGCCCCTGCGCGCCCTCCCTAGCGACGCCACTGGTCCTATTATAAAAATAATGACCCATTTTGTAAAATTGTAATTTAATTTCGTTAGAAAAATGATTAAATTTGTTTTCTACCCAGCATCTATTTTTAGCGCTTCTCTATTCAATTGTTACGAACTTTTTATAAAAGTCGCGAGATAATAAAAGTAGATTTTATAAAAAAAATTAAAGTAATTTTTAATGAAAATAAAGTTTGAAATGACCTTGTTTGTGTTTTGATGAGTTTTGTAAAATTCGAGTCAATAATGGCCGCTAGAATATAGTAATTACACTGGAGAAAAAAAATAGACTTTGAAAAATATTTTTCTGATGTTTATTATAATTATTATTCTTTTATCACTCAGTCTCAAACTTATCAGTCATTTTTATTGTGAATAATTCATTAATAAGTCTTATATATTTAGCACATTTTATATGTTAAACATAGTTAATACAAATTAATTTATTATTGACCACGTTAAAGAATAGAATAATGATGAAATATTGTAAAATGTTTCCTATTAATCATAGTAGTACTTATGTTGAACTTATGTTGACAGCTAATCTATCAAATTTATGTATATAACAATAAAATTAAGATCTTCTGTGTACTGTTCCAAATTTCGTCATATTTTTCAAATCGAAATGTCTTATTTGCAATCAAATATTGGCTGGGATGATGTTGTAGTATTGAGGAAACCTCAACAAGGAAATGAATTAAAGTCTCAAAAAGTTATAATATTTTTAATATCTGAAATTTATAATCTGCAATAAAATAGGCAATTAAAGAAGCTCAACGAAAAGGGGTTCCTGTCGATACTGCCAAGAAATGTAAAATATTTATTATCATTTTATTTTTTAACATTCATATGATAAATTTCTTCCTAACTATTTTAAGCCTACATATTTAATATACATTATCATGTCCCTCTAACACTAGGAGTGGGGTGGGATAGGATACAATTTTATCATAAGGCCACTCTATGTCTTATGGAGTGATGAATTAATATTTTTTAAATCAATAAAAGTTTTTAATTATATATTTAAATACTAATTATAGATGCAGCTGGCACCAACAAACAAAAAAGTGTTGATAAAAATACCCTTAAACTTGAACAAGACACAGAAAATTTGCAACATGAAAAGGTTCCTCTTGAGTTAGGAAAGATAATATCTAAAAGGAGAGTTGAAATGAATATGACCCAAAAGGATTTGGCAACTGTAATAAAAATGATGTTTTCTTATCTCTTTGTCATTAATATAAACTAGTAAGAGATGTTCATCAATCAAAATATCTTTATCATATTATTGTTTTTTCCTAATTTGAGTTTTTATACTTTATTATTGTCATTTTTTGTTGTTTTATATTAGTTTTTTTTAGTGATTACTTATTTTTTGTAGAAAATTTGTGAAAAACCTCAAATAGTCAATGAATATGAAAGTGGAAAAGCTATACCCAACCAACAAATCATTTCTAAGATGGAAAGAATTTTAAGTTATTATTATATATGTTATAGGTTTTCTATATTCTGATTAAACATACCACATATATATTTATATAAATTTGGCTAAATTTTATCATTTATATTTTGAGATTTATCTTTTAAACATTATATTCAGTGGTATCAAGAAAATATATTTATAAATATTTTTATAACCTAAATGCCAACAGGTATGAAATTGAGAGGTAAAGACAAAGGGAAACTGATTGCACCCCCAACTACAAATATACAAACTACAAAAAAATAAAAATAATACAATAATTTTTTAACTTTATTAATATATTATATATCTCTATTTTTATTTTACTGATAATATTTACTATGATTATAAATTATTATAAAAATGTATAATTTATAAGATTTATTTTATTCTTGTAATTTCTATTGTTATTTTAATAAAAGAAAGAGACATTCTAAGGCATATTTTAAAAATGTTCAAAAGAAAAATACTTATACACTCAATATTTATAGTACATCTATTCAAAAGAGAATATGCAAATTAGATGTTTAGATATATTTTAAAAAAAACTTTAATACCTGTCTTGCCCCAAAATTTTTAAAAATATTAGGCCCAACCCAGCTTGAACATGATTTTTTTAAAAAAATTAACTTGTTCGGGCTGGGTTATGGGCCTGACTTACTTTTGCAGATCTCTAATATAAATCTTTGTGAACGAATTATTGAAATGAGTTGGTTCTTATTAAGAAAATATATGGCATAAGTTATGCTTGCAAGGTTGGGCCGTAATTAATTATATATTAATTCCATAAGTACAATTCCTTTTTTCAATAACTAATTAATTACACTTTAAAAAAAGGAGTAAGTAATCAAAATTAATTATATTTCAGGCATGCAATTTTAAATTAGCAGCTATAATTCACAATTACATTTATAATTTATTTTTTTATGAAAACCGCTTAAAAATTGCAGTCATTCATTCATATTTTATTTCAAATTTAATTATATTTCTTTCATATTTTTGACGGAAAAGTTTTAAATTCTTTAACTTACCTTGAACTCTGACGATATTGCTCCAAATAAATTGTCAATATTCAGTTCATTTTTTTTTAAATAACTTAAAACTATAAAACCACAAGCGCTGGTTGTGCACTCTGTCATTAAATTGAGGGACCACAATCAAACAACCAGTAATTTCCTATAATCATAAAGTTATGTTTAAATATTATATTTTTGTTTATAATAATCTTGTTACTTTAAAAAAAAACATCCTTAAATATTAACACATTTTTTTTACTGAATTATTAAAAGCAAATATTGTACAAACTTTACCAGAATTTTTTCAAAGTTATGCCAAGAATATAAATATTGTTAATTAGGGTAGAAAAAGTTTCAAATGTTAATACTCATAATGTCTATTTATATTTAGACACCATAAGCATATCCAGGATTATCCCAAGGTGGGGGGATTGACCTTTTTGGCGGGTCTTCTACCCCCCCTTTGTCCGGGCTTCTGCCGAGTTTCCTTAGCCTATATATAACTAGAAAATATTTTTACAAAATAGGGAGGTTAATTTTAATAAAAACAACTTATTATTTAAAAAGTACGATATTGGTTACCAAAGAGATGGTAACCGATTTAAATTATTGACTTAAATTCTTTCTTTCTAGTTATTGTTTAAGATATATGCATACATTTTTGAAGGACAGGGAGTGAGGAGGGGGTTAAAGATGATATTTTTTATTAGCTTAAAATGATATTCACAAAAAATGACACATTTTTAAAGGGGAGGGAGAGGAATTTCCCCTTGTTCCCCTCCACCCCCACCTCTCACCCATGCTAATGTTAGACATCATGAATAATATTCCATTTTGTAAACGGAATATGACATTTCTTAACATCAAATGTATAAATGTAATTTTTATAGTAATATATATACAATGTCTTATTACATTTTACATTGAACGATTTAATTATATTCAAGTATAAAAAAATTGTAATAATCATAAAATATTATTTAATAAAATTTCTCGTTATTTTTTATGATTTTAAATCAAACACTTCTTTAATTCTTAATTTTATAAAAAGAGGAATTAATTATACAAAAATTTTGTAAATAATTGCAATTATCAATTAATGGAATTTTTGAGTAATTATAGAGGTGGAACTTCGAAATCATTTTAAAATTTTCAGGAACACTGTACCCAATTCCAACTGTCTATGTAATTTACATTATATTGCATAAAATGTTGTGTAATTCAATGTGAGATGTTTATTTAATTTCCTAATATTTTCAATTTTTTTATTTGCTTTATTTAACAGTTTTGAATCGGTACCAGTACCAGAAGCTAAAACTCTCGGAACCGCATTAAATTTAGAAACCGGAACTATAACTCACTTTTTAAAATTTTAGGAATCCGAACCAATTTCTAAAAATATTAAAAATCGAATCCAGAATTCCCTTTTGTCCAATTCCAGACTCCTAAAAAATAGCATTTAAAATGTGTTGGATTTATGGTAAGCATACTGTCATAAAATATTTGTGATATTTATAAAGCAAAATTGATCTTATTGCTATTTTATTTTTCAAAGGCAAATTTAGATGACTGATTAAGTGTTAATTTACTCATGCTATGGGTAGGAACCTTTTTCCCATAAAATAAATATTTTGCTTAAATAATAATTTTCCCAAGGATTTCAACGTGTTTTCATTTTGCCGGGTACAGGTAGCGTTATTTAAATGGAAGGGAAATGGGCTCGAGTAGCGGTAGGTAAGAGAATATATTCTAAATAAGTTATATTATATATACAATAAATATAATTTTTATAATCGTAAATCTGAATTAATGATATTTCAGAATAATATTAAGGGCTTTAAAGGAGGATATGTTCAAACTATATTGAAATATCTCTAATTAGTCATCAGGTAAAATATATTTAGGAAATGAAAAGGAATATATGATTGGGATATAGAATGAAATCTATGGGGGTTCGGAATTTCTGAATTTTATATCATTTACTCAGGGTGATTAGTAAATTTGAAAAGTCCGATTTTACCGGAAACGCTTTCCAGCATATGCAGAATACATATAAATTTCAGGCAATTTTCGCCATAAACATCTTTGCAATTTTTTTTAATTTATATGAAAAAGATATAAAAAGCGACAAATTAAGAATAATTTTCAAAGTTCTTATCAAAACTGCTGAAATTCACAGTGTGAATACTCTATTTATGTTAAATAACCTTTCCTGTCAAATTAAATTTTTCAATTTAAAAATCGCGCTCAGTAAAATCTAGATATTCAGAATCCCAATGCCTATTTCACAATGCGACATATAGCTTAGATGGTAGTGTTGGCATGATTATATAAAATTAATATAAATCTATGGTTGAATAAATATCAAGATTTAAATCAAATTTATATTTTGCTTGTACTTCATATAATTCGTTTTTTTTGATGAAATAATAACATTTTCTTATTCCTCATTTTGCTTTATGCGTGTAAATTTTAATTAATGTTTATCCTTAAATTATTTCCTATAAAAAATTCTTTTTTTTAATATAAAATTATTTATCATTATAAATTTAAAGTCCGTCACAAATGAATGAAAATATTTAAAGCAAAACATGACATTTAAAAATACAAAATTTTGATTCAATCGATCCTTTTTAATTATAAAATTTAGGGCTATATTAAAGAATCTATATATATTGTAATTTATAGTAATTTGCCATTCAAATTTTTTATCAATTCACGGCTTCATGTGGCCTATTATCCATCGTCGTTTTTAATAGTATTTTTATTAGTCGTTTATTTTAATCTTTTATTTAAAATATATATTTACTTTTTTGTTTTGTTTTAACATATATTATCTAATACATATATATTGTAATGAGTACAAATAAAACTTTCCAAATATAGGAGTTTCCATTCAAGAATGGAAATGTGTCAATCATAAAAAGAAAAGAGTCAATCAAAAAAGGAAAAATCCTAAAGGCTTAGGAAAAAGTCCGATCAAAAAAGAAAGCGTCAAACAAAAGGAAAAGGTCTAATCAAAAAAGGAAAACTGTCAATCAGAAAAGGAAAAGACTCATAGGCTTAGAAAAGGTTCGATCAAAAACGGAAAAGTGTCAATCAAAAACAGAAAAGGTTCAGTCAAAAAGGAAAAGCGTTAATTAAAAAGGGAAAAGTCCCAACAGCTTAAGAAAAGTGTCAATCAAAAAGGAAAATTCAAAAGGAAAATCGTTATTTTTTTTATTTATTTTACAAAAAAATTATATAATTGTTAATTTTTCTTGAATTTTTATTTTTAGCTATTTTTAATCTTTATTTTTCTTATTTTTCTCAATTTTTTATCTTCTCATTTTTGATTCTTTTATACCGATCTTTATAATGAATACCTCCTTAACACCCTCTTTTTAAGAGATTTTTAAATGTGAAAACTTTATGAAGAATATACATAAATTCTTTCAATGAGAAAAAAGGCCATTAGTAACTACTTAAATGAACACACCTTAATGAACTCTTTCGAACTAATCACTAACTTATAAGAAGAACCTCCATATAGTGAGCCCTTTAAAAATAAACCTTATACCATCTTTATATTGCTAAGTTCTTTTATACTTCCAACGGTGGTAAAAGCCACTGATAATAATATATCCATCAACCTTAACAATATTTCAGATAGTGAGGGTTTGGTAGAGAGTATGGTTACAGGAAAATTTTTATTATGTTTGTAGTTTCAGGAGAGGATTAAACTATCATAATTATTTGCGCTGGTAATATTTATTGTAATTATTAAAAGCAAACTTATGGTTCATTTCAATAAAATAGTTCAAAAGAGATTAAAACTAGATTGAAAATTTTTTTGAGAATGCTTAAACAGGATTTTTGAACAAATTTTAGCTAAAATTTTAATATAAATTTTTTGTGACTTTTATGAATAAAATTCTTTCATGATAAAGTCACAAATCTTCAATTTTACTATCTTCAAAGATTTTTTAAAAATTTTTGGCAAAGAAAATCTTCAAACTCTGGATATCAGTGGCGTCACTAGGGGGCGCAGGGGCTAGACCCTGAAAAATTTGAATAGCCCCCTGAAGCAAAATTATTTTTTATAATGGCTCCTTAATATCCCGTTGAACTAAAAATAAATTTTTTTTGCCCCCTGAACGATTTCTTTTATAATTAATTGAGTAATATATTGATTTAATTTTATTATTTAAAAATTAATAAGACTATCTAAATTTTTATTAAATGAATACTTAGATTAGATTAATACATATAAATTATATTTTCACTATATCAGTTTGCATACAAATTCTGTGTTAAAAATATATAAATATCACTCATTAATAAATTTAGCATTACGAGTTGAAGCTTAATTGATCTTTATTATTTAAAATATTATATAACCCTAATTAAATAAATAGAATTATTTATTAATTGAAAA